GGGCAGAGAGGAGATGAAAGAAAGTAAAGAGGATTAAAAGACGAAAGAAAGTTTTTATACTTGGCTAAAATCCCATCTATGATAAGTAACTTTTCAGAGGACAGTGAGAGGTCAGAGTATTCCTTTAACAATAATTATTAATGCGTGTGGAATATATTCTCAATTTGTTGTCATTTTTTCTTCTCTTAATGTTGAAAGTGAATGTTCGAAAATGTAGACTGTACGGCTAAGGTTTGTAGCTGAAATTCATAATATTAATTATAATAGTAATAATATCAATATATTATGCATGAGCACTTAAATACCTAGTCTACATTATGTTTGTGTACAAGAGTGCGCATGCATGAATGTGTATCTGTTTATGCTTCCGAGAGAGAGAGAGAGAGAGAGAGAGAGAGAGAGAGAGAGAGAGAGAGAGAGAGAGACTGAATGCCAATGGGCATGATATATCATGAGTTCATATGAAGGTATGAATACGTGCACTACGATGCATAGGTGAGTGTCTTCAAGCACACTTTTTGCGAGTTGAGTTGGAGGAAGGGGGAGGGGGGGAGGAAGGATAGAAGAAAGTATATCTCCAACATTTTACACGTTTAGCCGGGTTTTTTTAATGATCTGTTCTTTAATCCCTTTTAAGTTCTATTTGTTTACTTCAGATTATCAATTCTTCCATCTACTAACACTACGATTCATATCTTTAATAAGTAGGTATTCTTTACGACACTTGCAACATATTTAAGTGAAATAAGTGCCGTAGATTAGAGCTGTTACAAGAGTGTAACGTACACAAACAAGAAGGAAGAGAAAAGAAGGAGCAAACCACACCAGAGCACCCGTTAACCACCCAGATAGATATTTTGCTCTGTCAGCCTTGATCGTTCTGAAATATAAAAAAACCCAAAAACCCTAAATTATGTACTGAGTTCATCAGTGAATCTGTGTTTCCGTTCTCCAAATTACAAGTCCTTTCTAAGATTGACATAATAATAAACTGTTATTTGACATTTCCTGTTTTGAATTTGTTTTCAGATTTTCGTGGGCGGTGTCAAAATCGGTGAGGCTAAATTAGCGTGTTCTCTCACGGAGATCAGAGCAATCCAGGGGCCGGAGACTGGCGTTTTGTTTGAGGCTGTGCTCGCCAAGGGCTGGGTATGGCATTGTTGTCATTATCATCATTATTGTTATTATTTTTATATTTATCGTTGTTAGTGTTGTTATTGTTATTATTATTATCATCATCATCATTATTATCATCATCATCATCATTACATGTATTATTATTAGTATGATTGTGATGATGATGATGAGGATTTTGTTATTATTATTATTATTATTATTATTATTATTATTATTATTATTATTGTTGTTGTTGTTTTGGGGTTTTTTATTTTAAAATGTTTAATCGTCATCATTATTATTATTATTATTGTAATTGTTATTAGTAGCCTATATTTCTTTTTTCGTGTTTGACTTCCTCTCAGTCCTGTGTGTGTGTTCGTCTGCGTGTGTGTATGTGTGTGTGTGTGCTTGTCTGTCAGTTTGTACTAGCCTGTCCATGTATGTACATGTACATGTGTAACTATAATATGTGTCTCTTTACCCCCCCCCCTTGTTCCCCCAGGACACCAGACTCCATCGTCTCCCACGACCTCTTTGCCTGGAAGCCTCCATCTCTTTCTCCGGGGTGCCCAAACCCAACTCCAACTCTTTCATGATCGCTTGTCAGACCGGAGAGTTTGAAGACAGCGATGTGGTTTTCTGCCTCAACGTTTCCTTCACTCAAAACTCCACTCTGCTGAACACGCGAGAAGGAGACGTGTGGGGGTCTGCACAAATTGTCAAGCGGGAATTTCCGTTCCAGACCGACAAGAAGTTTGAAATCGTCGTTTTTTGCAAGAAGGATTCTTTTAAGGTTGGATTATTGTAAAGTCCCAACGTACGTTGTAATAGATACAGGCTTATACATTTTACAATCGGTATGAACATTCATTAGAATGCACAGGGTAAGAGATCAAGGGGAAGACCGCGTGGAACCCGAAGAAGAATCACAAAAATCAATGTACAGAAAAGTGGGAAGACATGGTATGACATCAAGAGGCTAGCCCAGGATAGAGAAAGGTCGAAGGTGTTTGTCCGTGGCCTATACCCTGGTGCAGGGTGAGAAAAGCAATGATGATGATGAACGTTCAGTTTTGTTTTCGGAAAGTTCAGTAATATAACTTGTTGGTCAGTACAGATAATTATAATGAGTTAGTGTTCGTCATGTATAACGGGTTTATGAGCAGCTTTTTGTCTACGGACGTCATAATTACTCATCACACCAATGCATAATATGCATGTGTGCTTGGAAACACACACACACATACACACACACACACACACACACACACACACACACTACAATATCTCATAATTTCGTTTCTTTCGTTTCTCAGTCCTTAATAAGTTCCTCTTTATAAGTACGGCTAGGTTGATAGATAATTAATCAATAGTTAGACGAAAATACATGTCGATAAATATAGACGTAAAGTAGACATGTTTTGTTTCCCTACCTACAGATACAGTGTAGCATGCATAATATAGGCCTATATTTAATAACGAATTCGGTGGGACACAAAAATCATTTCGTTATGTACGAATTTCTCTATGTACGTGTTTTAAATACAAAGAATACAGTCAAAACTGCCAAAGACGGGCACCTATTTTATGGAGGAGAAAAATTCTTACACAGTGTCATTATAAGGTTTTTAAAAATACGGGAGTGGGGGTGGGAGGCTGTTTGTACAAGTGATTGTCGTATAAAGCTGGCCATTAGAGCAGGTTCGAGGGAATAATATAAGAAAAAAGGCGGGACTTGAAAATACTGCATGTTCGTAGTGGGTTTGTTTCGTTAGGTGCGGGTTAACTTAGTTAAGTGTGTGCTAGACTGTAGATAGATAAATAGAGAGGTGGCTTTTTTGCTTAGATGTTTGTTCTACAAGTGGCTGAAGGCCGATGCTTTAGATTTAACGTATTCTTTTTCACCTTTTGTATAAGAGTTGTTGTTTTTCTGTTTTGTCAGTGACTTATCTGTTCGAATTACAATGTAATTACTCTTACTCCCAAGTAAATACATGTAGTCGGAAAGAGTTATTTATGTCGAAAACGTCATCCAATCTTGTATCTTCTTCACCATTAACTGTTCATTGCTTAGTAAATGGTCTGAGAGTGAGAGAGTCCGTTAGTGTGTCGAAACGTCATTTAGTGTATATTCTTCATCATTAACTGTTTGTTCCCAGATAATCGTGGACGGGGAAAACTACGCAGATTTTGTCAGTGACGTAGAGCTGGCTACCGTGAGTTATGTCAGCATGATGGGAGACTGCCTGTTCCTGGAGCCAATATTTCACTACTAGATTCTGTGTATGTGACTCACCGTGACCCAGCACCACACGTAGGCACGACTCGACGCTCAGCTCACTCTGGATAGGTGGACCTTTCACTTGTACATGACTATACTGCCCCCGTGATTTTATGCACCCCGCATAATTTAGCAAAATTTGATCATTTTTTGAAAAATTTCTAATTATTTTCCTTAATAATTCCTTGATATAATTAACACTAATAACAGAATCGCATAATTTCACATTTTTGGGCTCAGTTTGCATAATTTCATAATTTTTCTTGCATAAAACGACGGGGACAGACTATACTTTCTTTTTTATTTTTTTTGGTTAGTGTTTTACGGCGCTCGCATCTGTATAAGGTCGAATGAGCGTGCAGGACATTAAACATTTTCAGTTTGGTAGGAATTAATCTTGAATTTTGCCCAGATGGCGGCTGAAATCTACTCTTTTCGAATTTAGGACCACCAAGGGATCTTTTACGTGCACAACTTGTGCAAAGGGACCTCCGAGATTTTTTCGCTGTAAGTCTTATTCTAGAAGGCTCGGTGATGGACATCTCACACACCTTAAGGGTGTGGCCAAAAGACAGCAGTAAGAAGAAGCCAAGACTCTTATATAGTGGTTCTTGATAGTTCAATTAATATATAATTATATTATGTATCTATATATTACATATTATTGAACTTGTGTGCCCTCCCCGCGCGCGTGCGTGTGTGTGTGACAGACAGAGAGAGAGAGAGAGAGAGAGAGAGAGAGAGAGAGAGAGAGAGAGAGAGAGAGAGAGAGAGAGGGAGAGAGAGAGAGAGAGAGAGAGAGAGAGAGAGAGAGAGAGAGAGAGAGAGAGAGAGAGAGAGAGAGAGTGAATGGAGGGTTGGGGGGGGGGGGGGAGGACTGCAACACAGAATGTTATTCAACCATGCATTTTCATATCATAGAAACCGACAGCTTAACATTGCAACAAGTTTTGTAACAGCTGCCCCGAAGTCTGTGACTTTTCTGTTGTTCTTTTTGCCTATACAATGCTATAATAAAACAAGACGCAGTGCATTGCAGTCTCCAATTGATTCCACTTTGTGTGCGCTGTTGTTTCTCAGCAAGAAGTCAATACCGCTGAAGTAATTGCAACTTTCTCATTTCCCAGTCTGGTCGACATCAGTTCAGGCTACATTTCCCAGGAATACAATGTATTGGAAAACTGTTTGGACCACCAGGGAGGGAGGGGGGGTAGGAGTTCATGTACCGTACCATGGTACTTTGTAGGCCTACCTTTTTTGAGCTGGGAAAGTTTACGTGTCTACTATTTCAGAGCTGGTAATCTCCCGACAGTGTGAAGTAAATAAACACATTGGTACATGTGTATTTACTTTTTGAGCTAAAAGGAAGCCCATCCGTTGAAATAATAACGGTAACTGAATCCTTAGAAAATGCAGAAGGCATGAGTTTGTTTCCGCGAGATTGAAGTTTAAAAAAAAATTATTTATTCAATCTTTTAAAAAGCAAGTATCTCCAGAGATGTATCCCGCTCAGCCAAGATTGGCAACGACACTCCTTTCTTCTACTTATGGTTACACTATACAGTCTAACACGTACATTGCGAAATAAGCCGGAGGTTATGTGGACATCTTTCTCATTTATGTACCAATTTCGTAAATACGCGTTTTAAAACATGAAATATAAGGTGTAAGAATACATTCGAGACCTCATAATCTATTCACAATGTGTATATCTCGCTACATGCGTGCTAGACTGTATATATTTTTAAAAATTGAAAGTGTGTGTTGAGGATCCCAATATGTAGGCCTACCTCCACCAGACTGCTAAAGAGGACAGAAGAGTAGATCTTTCATTCATTCCATCCTTCATCTAGACACTGCATACAACAATGAATAGAAGAACAACAAGGGAAAACATCTTACCAATGTTTACACAATTTTAATACATTATTATATATTAATATTTATAAGTAATTACCATGTTACAAGGGGTGAAGAGAGCAACTGCCGGGCCGAAAATCTAAGTGCATCATTTACAATGTACATCACGTGTGGACACCACCAGAAACTCCAACGCACTGACCACAACATCCGACTTGGGGGGAGGAGCGAGGGAGTGAGCAGCGGACCAGGCAGCTAACTGCTCAACCCCTCCGCATGCAATAAAAGACCTGGCCAACTCACCAGAGCCAAAAACTAACAAACTAAACGCAAGGTTACAACACCCGTCTATCATCGAAGCAGGCATCAGACCCATGAGCAGGACAAAAAACTTGCCTCCGTCAATCTTCTGAGATATAGTTTTCTGCTACTTTGACCGGCACACATAACATAAACTATAAAAACTACAGCAAGCTGACCTAAAATATTACGCATTGTCGGGAAGAAAATGTACAAAGTTCCACACTGTCCCCCAAAAATAAATAAATACATAAACATCTAAAGATCATAGCAGACTGAAAACATAGAACCCAGTCAACGCCTTTTCTTGGAGTGGTTTGAAAGGCGGGTCATCTTCTTCAGACTGCTGACCAATCAAAACAGTAAAAAAACAACAGTAACCTCAAACACTTCACAGTAAATCAAAAGAGCGTTTGCCACAGGATCCTGCGACAGAACAGAACCTACATTTATTAAACGATAAGTCACTCGCAGGACTAAGATGACAAAGACAGGAATAGGCCAAGAAACAGAAAAATGGAGGGGATAAACGATGAATGAGAGAAAGGAAAAGAAAAGTCATGGATGTAATGGTAAGCATGGAGCTCTGTTAATCTAATCACTGGGGCCAGGTGGAGTGAGTTAATGGGTAGACAAAGCTCTCTACTGTAGACAAAACATGCATTATATTATTATACACAAAGAATATTTTTTTTAAAAACCCTTTTTGATTCTTTGATACAGGTGACAGACGTAAACAGTCAAACTTGGTAGGCTGTGTCACCACTTGTCTCTGGTCTGTCGGTTTGAATAATGGAACAACAATGGTGGAAGAGCACAAAGGAGAGCGATTGCATAGATGTGAAAAAGTTAAGAGAAGCACGCACACGTACGCAGAGGACATTGCAAACACCACACTACCGCATCCACACATACACATGACGTTTGTCTTATGTAGGACAAGAAAATCTGGAGATTCAAACCACACACAGTACAGGAAACCTGCACTATAAAAATCTGTTTTTTTGCAAGAAACAATAATCGTAAAACATAGGGGGTAGAGCGGTTTTTGGTAACCCACTTTTGAGGTTTAATGAAACAGCCCTTTCAACACAATGATGGTTGTTCAAGAAGAGCAACCTTTGCACAGACATTAATATCTCAGGTTGAACAAGGTGGTCTTAACCAAAAGACCTTTTTAGTAAACTAAATTTTAAAATAAATTTGTACCAACAACTCAAAGCGCAATCGCATTCCAGTTTTGGTAATGGAGCTAAAAACACTTACACCCCCCCCCCCTCCCCCGTAGCTCAAACAGTAGGTTCTGAGAGACCTAAAATAGTTAACTCATAAATTTGTTGAAAGAATCAACCAAAATATGACCACTTCTTCAAATTTTGCAAAATTGGGGCACTTTTGTTTCAACTTTTGACTACCCTCTTCCTACGAGCTCAAGGCAAGTCAACAAGATTTTTCTCTCCTTTTTTTAACACTCCCTGTCAGAACTTGATAATTTGGTAATATTCCTTGCAGACACAAGATTTCATTCACATGCCAGGTAACATAGACAAACTTCTTTCAGAAATCGTACACAAGACAAAAGTTGCGTCTTCCCCTTAGAGAGGATAAAAGTATGTCGAGTAATCGACAACGGGCTTATATATTCAAAAGCCCAGCCCTTGCTGGCTCCATACTTGAACACAAATGATTGTAGAAGGGACAAGGCAGAGTGGATGTGTATCATTTATACACACAAGCTCATAAGCAGATACAGCAATATCACAAGCAACATATCAACATTCACAGGCTTGTACTAAGTTGTACACACACACTTTTCTCGTGTGAGCAAGCCATATGGTTTTGCAGACCGACACGACACACAGTTGCATATCAATAGCATCGTTTGGCATGACACCAGCACGTTTGCATACAGAGGTCACAGCTGTTTTGCTCCTCCCCTTAAATATGAGAAGGCCTACACTTCTCAGTCCCCGACAATACGATTAAGATTATACCACTTCATCAATAGGCTTTAAGAGAATAAGCAGTCACCAGCGCCCATTTGAATATTTTGACAAGAATCCAACCAGAGCCAACTCTTCCCCCCTGTGTTGTACAGTTCAAACAAACAATTCGGGTAGTAATCACACGACGACAACAACACAACATACACACTCCAGAAAACAAAGATCTTAGCCACCAAGAGAGGCAGTCAGCCAGTAGTGACAAGACACGCGTGTCCACTATCACTCTGGACGTACAGTACTACAGTCAGTCGGTCAAAGACACACTTGTCCAGGTCATTTTTGGACAACAAAATCAGTCACACTCGCTTCAGGAGGGATAATAGATGAGTCAAGTACATAAGAGTCAAGGTCACTTCAAGAGACTGAGAGGAGTCAGCATGACAGACAGCACATATCAGAAAATCAAAGTCTCTTCAATATAACAACACATTTCAGTTTGTGATCTCACTCCCATGTACATTATATCTCTGGCCAGGATATTGCACCAACAAAAATAAAAGACACCCCCACTCTGAACCTGACCCAGACACTTTCAGCACACTACAAAAAATAGATACCGCCATACGTTAATTTCAAACCTGGTGTCACCAGAAATTGAAATAAAACAAAAGATATTCTTGATAAGGTCACCTCGGCTGCAAAGTGCGCAGTGTGATATTTCTCATTTATTACACTGACAGCCTATCCCGGTAATTTATATAAACATCCTGTACTAAAATTTTTTAAAACAAACAAAACATACAAATCTTAAAAAACTTCTTTTTTTTTGGTTTTCCAGTGGATGATATAACACAGCTTTATTACAGTGACTGACGTCATGCTCACAAATATTACTATGAACATACAGAAGGATCAACAAAAAGCAGCTTCATTAACCTTTGTCACAACATGAGGGTCAAATGTGGTAGGCCTACATTCTGCTTTAGAATTTGTAGAATTGTATTCACACAAGACCACTATTTAAACAAAATGTTATTGTTTCACCCAAAAATAAAAGTGACCCAAGGGCTAAACCACTGTTGAAAAATAATCGCACTCAAACTTATTTCACACACACTGCGTCACATCAACATACAGAACATCTGTCACTATTGTACAAACAAACAATGGTGGTATAAAAATGATTCACAAGCATCAATAATGTGGGATTGATAATGGTAGTTTAAGTCAATTCAATACTTTCTTTTTTTCTCAGCAAGTATAAGTAGCAGGTTGTAACATTATGGGTGCAAAACAAAATTTTTTTAAAGTCCTAACAACCTACAGGAACATTTTTAACAGAAAAAGTACACAATGTCTCATACTTTTCCATGTTATATATATATGATAATAAATAATCATGAGCCAACATAATTTCTCAGCTCGTTTAGTCATTACTAGATAAGCACTTGGAGGAACAAAAGCTGTTGTAAAAGGTTCTGAGATGAGGCCAAGATTCAAAATTTCTCAGAACCTTCTCCGAGCAACAGATTAGTTCCAACAGCACAAAAAAAATATGAAACAATGATTCATCAACCTTCGAGCATAGTAATATAGACACTGCAAATTTGTCTGAAGTATCAAGAGAGAACCAAGTGACAGCAACAGAATCCCTTTCAGAAGGTTAGGTTTTTACGTCGTCATCGAAAGAGCACACACTACAAGAGTGAAAAACAATGGGCAGTCTTCAGACCAATACACACAATGTACCCTTTTATTTGTTTGACACGGCTAGCTGTACAAGACTGGATGTCATTTTGAAGGCATACTTGCCTTCACCAGTGTGCCCACAAGGCGTTTACCCATGCGTGCTTTTTTATCTGTGTGAAGGAGTGTTTGTGTGACTTTGAAGTAGGCCTACATGTGTGAGTTGGTGTAAAACTCCAAGCAACCCTACCGCATTCTCCATATTGCATAAAACAACAATGACAATGCAATCTGCCTCATATTCTCAGAGGTCCCAACCTGAGAAAGACAGCCAATTGTACTCACAAAAACAAAAAAGCAACAAAAAAATTGTTAGAGAAACACACCAAAAACATTTTTTTAAAAGAGAGACAAAACGCGCGTGTTACGAAGCCGTCAAGACAAACATAATAAATAGTCAGAACTTAATTACGACAACAGCGGTAGTCAATAACGGTGTTCTGAGCTCCTCCCTTCCGCCTGTGTGCTGTAAAGTCACTGGGACCAGATGGCGGAGCGCAGGAAACATCGCGGCAAGATAAAAAAAAAATATTTTAAAATGGAGACAACCAGACTCGCTGATGGTGAACAAACTTGATCATGATACTTGTTCTTCTAATACCTGCAGTCACCAGAGTCCTTGCTGGAGTTTGTGTGGGTGTGTGTAGGCGTGTGTGTAACTTGTATGTATTCCAACACCAGGAAGTGTGAGAGTGCAATTGCATGTGTCTGTTTGAGCGTGCATGCGAGTGTGTGTGTGTGTGTGTGTATGTGTGTGTGTGAGAGAGGATGAATGGATAGAGTGAGCCAGAGAGGGGAAGAGAGAGAGAGGAAAGGAAAGGGGGGGGGGGGGGATTTGACAGTGGAGGGAAGGAGAGAGGGGGGAGAAAGGGGAAAGAAGGGGGTTGAAAGACAGTGATGCTCATCAACTCTCAAGTGTTTGAGTTGTTAAGGAAGAGAAGAACAATGGTATAGCTTGCAAGTGTGGGAGAAAGTGATAGTGTTGTTTGTGAGGAGGGTTTGGTGGGGAGGAGGCAGTCTTTGCAGTCTTTTTATAAGCTGACTTTTTATCCTGTCGCAAAAGCACCAGTGACTGACGGGCAGGGGGCGGAGTGGAGATGGAAAAAATTGTGAGAGCGAGCAAAGGCACTAGCTGACAATGACAGCCTCAGTTCTTGTTGTTCTTGTTCTTGTTCTGCTGCTGTGGTCCCCGTGGAGGCGTCACTGGTCGACCAGAGTTCAACCCTCCGTACTGGTACTTGGCCTTCTTCTCAGACGGCTTCAGAATCTGCAAGGTGAGATTAGTTTTATTTAAGTTTTAGTAAAAGTTTTATGGCACCTGCAACACAATTAGGTCATATAAGTGCTCAAGATAAGAGGAGTTACTAGATAGCAACATACAAAAAAAAACAAAAAAAAAAGAAGAAAGAGGGGAGATAAGGATAATAAATGTTTGATAGGACAGAAGGAGCAAACCACACAAGAGTACCCATCAACAACCCACAGGGTGAGATTGGATTTTTTAAAACATTTTTAAAGAAAAAGGATATGACAGATAAGATAGGTACATTAATACAGCAAATTTAACAACGTGAGCAGCCAGCAATAAACTGCAATTCAACATACATTTAGGCAGGCATATAGGTGTCATTTCAACAAGTACATTCCCTTTCCCTCTCACAAGCAAGTACACAGACACACATACAAATACAAAACGGTAGATCACGTTCCGTACATCTGTAACCTGCAAAATTCGAGAAATACTTTCTGACAGTAGTGTTAATCCTCTACAATTCCCAAACACTCTTGTAATAGACATCCTCTGAGTGCTCACCTGAAAAGAGCACATGAGCGTGTCGTCCACAGACATCATCCCACCGGCGTTGTCAAACTCTCCGCAGTAGTTGGGCGCAGAGAACAGTGTGACCAGCTGACGCTTGGCGAAAAACTCATAGCCATCCTCCACAACCTGAAACCAAAACAGGAATACTTTGAGATGAAGTAAAGGAAGTCCCTTGATTTAAAAAAATAAAATAACAATTGCATTTGCGAGACGTGCTGATAACACGAGTTATTTCTCGGATTCAAGCCCTATGAACATATGTAGATGCTTCAAATTTACAGGTTGGGCTTAAACAATTTATAGATAGTTAAAAACTGTTTAACTTGAAGAAAGTGGTATCACTTGAAAATCTATAACTTTTTCTAGAGGATTGCTGGCGGGCAACTCGATTCATAAATTGCAAGAACTTATCTTGTCAGCATGCCTCACATTTATATAGCTCATATCCATGCTCTACAACATGATTTTTGCGCTTGACAACTTATTATAATTGTTGTAAGTCGAGTATAATTGTGAAAATCTGCATTTTTGTGCCAATGTGTAATACATATCAAACAAAAATTTTCAGAATTGTCTTGATTGAAAGTAAAAAGAAATGGAGACGTCTCACATAAAAAAAAGGAACATGATCAGTCAAAAAAGAAAAGATTCTTCTTTTAACCCAAGGAGGGATATGGGACAGGTTCAAATGTATTAGACATACCTACGGGTCATTTGAAAGCTTTCTTAGTCCCTTTCACAAGACGAATTTTGGGTCTCTCTTCCATTTAAGAACTCTTACGCCCACATACCTCGATCTTCACTGTTCGATGCCTTTGTCTTCCAACGTCGGTTTTCCATTTTCACTTTCTAGACGTCTTTTATAAAAGTATTTTTTGTTGCGTTACAATGAAAAGACACCCACAGGATACATCATTTCCTTGGAACTGAAAATCTTTAGTTGAGTGAGTAATCAGATCCAAACATAGATGAAACAAAGCAAGAGAAATTCACAGTGAAGGAATGAACAATACTTTTAGCAAGACTACTGCCTGGCTATCTTCTCAGACTCACCTGATGGGCTCGACAGATGAGATCCAAATCATGTCTGTTGAGGAACTTGCTGACCACATCTGCCCCAAAGGTAAACGACACACCACGGTCGTTCTCACCCCATCCCTGTACATCCTTGTCTGGATCTGACCATAACAAATCACACAGCAAACCTGGCCAGGAAAATGATGCAAAGTTTGTCAAAAAATATTCCAGTTCAATCTAGCATGCACTACAAAAGCACATGCAGCATATTCCAAAACTGAAGCCTAAAACTTTATCTCCAAAGTACACTTTAATAAACTGATGAATGCAAGAAAATATGTCACGAAAGGGTTATGGGTTAGTTTAGTTTTCGTTAGAGTTTTACAGCACTTGCAACACAATAAGGTCATATAAGTGCCGAAGAATAAATGTTAACAGAGATCAACATGGACAAAAAAGGAGCAGAGACTAGGACGATAGATGTTTGATAGGAAAGAAAGAGCAAACCCCACCAGGCCACCCGCCAACCACCCAAACAGTACGCTTTAAACTGACAAATGCAAGGAAATAAATCAGTAAAGGGTAATGGGTTATGTGATGACACTAGGAAGCAGAAGAAAACAATCACAGTGTTTTAAGCTGTTGATTTTTATTATTAATTCATAGCCAGTCAACACAATAACAGTCATATTCTGCTAATAAGATTAGTTAGACAATTGAAACTCAGGAGGAAAGTACAAACAAACAGGCGCATCTACCAACTACCTGCTAAAATAAATAAAAGTACAGTGAGTGCCTAAAGTAAGTTCTGTTTTCATGCCTTAAAAAGTAAAAAAGTTTCACACAATTAGACCTATGCATAATCCTGTCAGCAACTCAAAAATTCATATTCTGGCATAAAGAGGTAGAAACCAACGCAATATTGGTTGCATTGTAAGGGGAAAAAAAAAAAAGTGAGACTATGCCCCCCCCGAAAAGCCCCAAATCTTAATCCAGTTATTCTTTACATCCCTTTTCCCCCCCCCTTCTATTTACTCCCAAGTTTTCTCTCCATCCTCAACGCTCACAAACTCACCTGTGTCTGGCACGTCTGTGGGTCTCATGATGCGTCGGATCTGTTCCATTGTCTGTAAATCAGGAGACAAACCTGCGGAAGATACAGTGAAGAAAACATATAACACGAGAAACAACAAACTCTATATTTAGAATTACCTCGCTGGCTCAGATTTTATTCAGCCACATTCATGATTCGACTTCAGCCAAACCCTAAAAAAACAAAAGGCAGTTATAAAATTCGACTTCTTTGTGTTTTAGCAAGAGTTTTACTGCACTTGCAACACAATAAGATCATATAAGTGCCGAAGACTAGAGGCTTTACAAGATAGTAACAAACAAAAAAAGAAGAAGGAGGAGAGATCAGGACGATAGATGTTTGGTAGGAAAGAAGGAGCAAACCACACCAGAGCACCCACCAATCACCCACTTCGACTTCTTGATGCACGTCATATCAAATTGTTTTGAAGAAACATTTCGCCATAAATCTATTTAAAAAAAGTATTGCTGAGCAAATGGGAATGTAGCATCTTATGAATAAGAACAGGGAAACAAATGAAACCCGGAAATGAAGAACTAAATTTCTAGCCTTTTGACACAAGGACAAAATAATGAATACAAACTCTCTATATGCGACTCATGGAGAATATCACCTCAAATATCTAAGTCATACTGTTTATTAAAATTTCATTGACCTGTTTTTATGAAAATAAAACATTTTAAAAAATTTTAAAAACGCATAAAAATGCTTCAAACTGAAAAGGGCAGTAGTAATGCTTATCTTTGCAAAGGAAGTTTCATTTTAGTAAGAGTTTATGGCACTAAGGCACTTGCTCCACAACTGGGTCATTTAAGTGCCAAACATTACAAAGACAAGAGGGAGGAGAGATACGGGCAATATATGTTTGACAGGAAAGAAGGAGCAAAACCCTACCAGAGCGCCCACCCGCCAGCCACGCACTTGAAAAGGAGGAATAAGGCTGAGATCTAAATAAATAAGGAGAAAGCAGTTGACACAGGAAAGTGTACACACATAGAGCTTCATAATCAACGTGCACGTTGAAAAACAGATGAGTCATAACAGATAACAGCGAACTACACCAAAAAAAATAAAATAAAATAAAATCAGGCCACTAAATAAGCTGTACACCCATGTTCCCAACCACCTCTGCAAATAAGCTACCGCACTTATCTCCTCAGAGATAAGGATAATACTGATTACATCATACTGACACACACACTGCAGTGCAGCAATGAGGCTCTAAAATTTGAAAAGCTAATCAGTTAAAAAATATACTGTATACACCTAGCTCACATCTTTTAGCAGCTTGTATTTGAAAAGAGCTTTTCTCATACCATAATGACTCACTCTGTAGTACTAACAGGCTATCTTAACAACCCTCGCCCACACCCCCCCCCAAAAAAACAACAACACAAAACCACAACGAAATTGAATAGCATTCTGGACATCTGACCACCCAGATGGATCCTGTCAATAGTCTCCCTTCTGTACTGAAAGGTCACCATTTTATAAAGTTCTCTACCACTGAAAAGTGTACTGCCACCATAATAATAACATAACAATCTAGGCTAAAATGTGGACTGGTCAGTCAAGCACCATTGCATCAACCACGTTTTGGAGTAACCCAGTAAAGGCTTTTTGCGTTAAAAAATATGCTGTATTCAAGTCCTAAAACAAACCTGTTATTTAAGCAAGCAGAAGTTAAATCCATATCTAGCCCATCTTCTGAAAGAGCAATTTGGGGGGAGTTACGAACAGTTCATGGTAGGAGGGTGTCTGTTAAAAGGCCATTAAGGGATTAGTATTATGAAACTCTGTGAAAAGTGGCATCGATTCCCGTGTCAGTCACGACAACGCAAAACAAGTCTATTCAAGGACGTAGCTATGAACTAGGCTTGTCAAAATCCCCAATTACAGACTCTCAAAGCATGATCTGGAAATGAAGATATTTCACATTTTTGTTCACAAAAGAATAACCCCAGACAATGACTGAGACAATATTTTGGAGAGAACAATGAGCTTTGAAGACAAGCAAGACAGAGAGATTTTTCAGCGCTCCGTTTTCTTCAGCTATGAGGCTCATTTCCAGGGGACTAGAAAAGTTAATTCTGAGAATGGTGTGCGCTGGGAAACAGAAAGACCAGATGATATGACTGAGATCAATTTAAAAATTGAGACAAAGACCTTGTAAAAGCAGGGTCAGAATCCTGCACATTTTTAGTCAGAACACGGAAACAAATTACAGGTGTTGGGGGCCAAAGCTAACAGTTCTAATCCGTATTCCTTCTTCATATAATAAATTGTGCAACTGTCTGTCCAGATGGTTCCTTAACCTTTCTATTAAAGTACTTTGCTGAATTTAAAGCGGTTTCTATTTTATTAAACTGGAAATGAAGATATTTCACATTTTTGTTCACAATTTGTTCTCAATTTTTTGGCGAACATCGAGTTTGAGACACCCTGCACATACTATACAGTCTTCAAAAGCAAGATGAAATAAAAGTAGCAACAACAAATTTGCATTCGGTAACAGACAATGTTCAAAATATAAAAAGACTCACCACCATGACAACAAAATATTTTCTCATCAATAATTGCAGCAATCGGTAGACAGTTGAAGCAGTCTGTGAAAGTCTTCCATAATCTGACATTGAAACGTCTTTTACCTGAGAAAGAAAACAAGTCAACATTTCTCTTAGAAAAGAGCAGAAACCAATATTACTAAAATTATTATATTATCATAACCGACCGTGCACATGTTGCATTGTCAGCATGAGACACAAGTCAAGCTATACAAAAAAAAATGTATTTACTCCTTCCCTTTTACATACTGGAAATGAGACACAAAGGACAGAAACAAACTTATGATGTGACTAAGCAAATATCACTTAGAAAAAAAGCAGTAAACAAAAGACAGTAAAACAGACAAGTTGAGTCACAATTCAGAAAGCTATGATCTGGGAACATGACATCTTAACCTGTCAACCAAAGGTTAATCTATCATCAACTACAAAGGCAAACAAAAAAGAAAATCTACTATAACACATATTTTAATTACTTATTAATTTAAAAAATGCATCTGAACTTAAATAAAAGCAAAGCACTACAAATTCATATACTGAATAAATTCTCCATTATAAAAATCACGTCTATCGTATAAAAGAAATATATTTATATTTTGGCTGACTTGACCAATTGCACATGTATGTCTGTTCTCAACAATTTTCTTAAAGCCCAAACAGAGAACTGAAAAAGGTCTAAAGACCCCAAAAGTACATCAAATATTACAAGAAAACATCTTACATTCATCATAAAAGCCATAAATTCTGTTGATGCTAGCACACTCGTGGTTCCCTCGAAGCAAGAAGAAATTCTCGGGGTATTTGATTTTGTAAGCCAGTAAGAGACATATGGTTTCCAAGGACTGTTTCCCTCTGTCTACGTAGTCCCCCAGGAACAGATAGTTTGACTCGGGTGGGAAACCTCCGTACTCGAAGAGACGCAGCAAGTCTGTGTACTGGCCATGAATATCACCTGCATCGAGAGAAACATAGCATTTTTCATATGTCCAAGAAAAAAACACCAAGTTATGATTCTGCTTAAAATATTACTTACAAAGCACAATATATTCTTTCTTGTAAAGAGTAGTATCAAATAATGACACATACGGTCGATTTTAAGCACAAAGGGGCTATCCAAAAAAAAACTGTTTTGAGAAAATCGAAGGTAAAAGTTTTTGCCTCTTGTTCAGTTTCTTTAAAAGACAAGGAGAGTTTTCTCTATAACCAAACAAAAATACACATCAATGAAACCAAACTTCTTCTACAGGTAGGGCAATGCCCACTTTTGCTGTAGGTCAATATTTCTGGAAACCCCAAAAATCTGGGTTAGCCCGCTTGTCCTTAAAAGCGACCATATGCAGTTGATATTAAAGTTGACATCTACTTGAATAGATCAGCTCTGTAAAAAAATTTTGCAAGCCCTTAATTATAACATTCAGGAACTGAACTGGAATCAACCAGTCCACTCAGTATTTTCCTTTCAGGAAAAACATGGCCTTATAATTTATAATCCCATCAAAAACCCCCCAAAAAGTCAAATCCAAAATTTCTTTATAAAGTAAACATCAATATAATATCAACAGTATTAAAATTAAAATTTAATTCATTTCTTACCACAAATCTTCAGAGGTGCCTCAAGCTCCAAGAGAATGGGCTGACTGAGAAAGATTTCCCGAGATTTGAGACATAAGCCCCGGACTTCACCCTCTGTCATCTGAACTGTTTTGCCTGGTCGACATCCGCGCACTAAAGAAGGGATGAAAACGTTGTTGAGTATTACAAGAGCATCACACTTTTTTTGTTTTCGTGAGCGTTTCACGGCACTTTCAACAAAATAAGACCATAAATATAAGTGTCAAAGATAAGAGGTATTACATAAAAGTAACAAACACAAAAAGAATCAGCAGAGATCAGGATAGATGTTTGATATGAAAGAAGGAGTAAACCAAACGAGAGCACCTACCAACCACCCACAGCATCACACACACTTGCCCACAACACAAAAAGACAAGCGAGGATAACTCATTTCTCCCAAACTCCTCAAAATGCAGCTGCCTGATGCCAAATGCAAAACTCAAACAACAAGAATACAGCATCACTTTTACAAAATGATAAAGAAAACTGCAAATAGGTCCAAAACAAAAACTCAAAAATTATCAGATATAAAAAGTATTCCAGCTTTTGAACAATTTAGACCAATAGAAAAGAGATCATGTTCGAGTTCTAACATAAAATAAATTTGCAAGCAAAATTGAAACTGTTATCCTGGATACAGTGTATGCCTGAAGAGGTGTACACCATTACTGTAAATTACAGCAATCATTTTCTTTTCTATATCGGCAAAGAGTAACTCTACGGCTTGACTACAAGGTAACAATTGAAGATGACATAATATTCGGGATTCTAAAGCCTCAAAACAAATGTCAAAGAAAAGGTAAAATAACAGAGAATCTTGGCCACAGAGATACACAATTAACTCCTTGTCTCCAGCAAGCCACTCCCAACTGCTGGCAGTGGCTCAGGCACATTCCTATACAACAACTACCACGTCAAATTACTGTTCGGCAATTGCTGAAAACAGGTCTGAGCTTTTATGAGGAGTTCATTCGTTAGTTGAAAAAAGTATAAAAATATGTTCATTTATAAATTTCGACAAAGTTAGTGACCCAAGTCATTTTTAGATTTTGTTCCAAAAAAGTAAGTGTCCCTGCATTGTGGGTTTACTTACCCCCCTAGAAGATAAAGAGTAGGCAAAAAGAATATCATGGCTGATGCCATTAACAATTGTAACACAGAAGTCAGAAGTACTATTTATATTTAACGACTTTATATTGAGACCGAGTAAAGCCTGAACAACAGCTCTGCACGTCCTGCAATCACACTAAATTTCAGACTAGACCAGTCAGAAAACAATAGTGCTCAACTAGTGACTAGATTGAGTCTGTCATTGATCTTATGGTTAAAATTTATTTGGCCTATTTTGATTTTGATAAACGTCTAGATCAGAATCAAGTTAAAATGCTACATAATTAGTTATATATATTGAAAGTGGCTATTCTCATCACGGGTGAGAATAAAAATACGATCGACCTCTCACCCCAGGTGAGACTTGCCAGCGTTGGATATTCTCACCCAGTAGGAAACAAGACCAGTTTTTCCTAATTTCTGAATACTGTTTTATCGGGATTATACAATTGACAAAAACAAAGATGTTCAGTGCTTCCATCAGCTGAAGTTGAAAAGTAAGGAAAATTGTGCCGGGGGTCTGAGGGCTGCTGAGGCCCCCAGAAGGGTCCAGGGACTGCCTCCCGGTGTGGGTTCAGGTGGCGAGGCCCCCGAAAAAATTGAAATTTAGTACTTTTAGAGGGTTGAAAATGGCATTTGGGAGCCTGTTTGAAGAGATTACCAACAACCCATACTTATTTTTTCACTAAGATTTTGCCTTGTTTGATTTCTTCACCAACATATCTTTCCATTGCTGGCAATGTTTAAAAGCAGGTTCCCCTTCCATTGCTACTAAAATTCAATTAATTTGTCATCGCACCATTGATAGAAAGCAAACCTGGGAATACAGTTCACAATACAGCTACCCAGCGTATAGGCCAACCCTAATTTTCACGTCTGAATGTCCCATGTCACAACCTCGGAACACCACTTCGAATTATTCTTGATTTTAGTAGTTTTAACACGAACTTCTTTCATTGAGGTCCTTGTCGCGTTCCCGTGCTGTAGAATCTTCGCACTGATATTTTCTCTAGATCTAGACAATAAATTTGCCAACAAGTTTCTTTCTGACAGTAATTTTTTGTCTAAGATCACAAGTCAATATACTTGATCAACGCGCAGATTTTCCAGCCGCGGCAACAATCCGAAGATAGACAGACGGAATGAGGGAATGACAGAAGGGAGGAAAGTGGCACAAGAAGTTTGCCAGATTTTGATCAATCTGCAGGTAAAAAATGTACTGCCGACCAACCCACAATGAATGCATGGGGCATAGGGGAATAATGGCTGATGGTAAGAAATGTGCAATCTGGCAGGTTTCTATAACATAAACTATTGCCGAGAGAATTACCGTAAATATCTGTAACTTATACAAGACGATACGAAGGCGTGTACGGATCTAATGCTACGTAATTTCGGTAGTCCTACGCTGTCGCAGATTTTTACGGAGGAAGCTGATAATGATGGAGGAACAAGTACGGAACTACCAAAAAGTACGGATTTCCATAAAAATACAGAAGAGTGGAAGCACTGGCTGTTATAGCACAAAAGTAAACTAATTTGGTCGTCTACAAAGATTCTCTCTATGGCTATTTCATTTTTCGAATTGAGCCAAACTAGGCCGGTCGCCATTTTGTTTTGCCCGGATGTTCTTGCTACTCCTCTTTCTCTCTCTCCTTATCTCTTTCTTCCCACCCCCCTCCCCCTCACCATGTCCACAGACAAAATTGCACGCTTTCAACACAAGAGCGCTGGAACGTTTGTTTACACTGGTATCACGGTAAACGCACACCGGGTAGTCAAAAGGCTCGCCCTTTCACCCGGAGTGATCGGCCTGAACCGATGCACTAAGCAGTGAACTCACACCAGGTGACAACAGCCAGATGATTTGCCCTCTCACCCCTGCCTACAACTGCACTATTCTCACCCCGGGAATAACTTTCAAAATCTAGGCCTAGGTAGGCCCTATTTTGACAGTTCAGAATCACTTCCGTCTTGCGGCTACTAACCATGCTGGTTTGGCTTTTTTTGTTTGTTTATGTAGATCTATACTTTTGTAGTCCCTTCATAAAAATAACCATTATTTGCAACTTTTTAAATGTCAAAATCGTATTCAGGGGGCATTAGCCTTAAAAAAAAACAAGAAAAAGTTGCAAAATAGCACCCTTTTCTATGGGGGTGATTCTATACATTTATCAAAGGAAGTGGCTATCCTCAGCCAGGGTGAGAATAAAAATACGATCGACCTCTCACCCTGGGTGAGACTTGCCAGCGTTGGCTATTCTCACCCGGTGAGCCCAGTGTGAAACAAGACCTGTTTTTCCTAATTTCGGAATAGGCCTACTGTCTATCGGTGTGGATAATCAAATTGACAAAATGACTTTATAGTGAGCACAAAAGTAAGCTAAGTTTATCGTCTACAAAGATGCTATGGCTATTTCACTTTTCGAATCGATCTGAACTACACGTGTCGCCATTTTGTTCTGCCCGGAAGTTATTGCAAGATCTACTCCACCCCCCTCTCTCTCTTTCTTAATATTCATACTGTCTATCGGTGGGGACGTTCAAGTTGACCAAAACAAAGTTAAAAAATGATGTTAAAAAACAAAGGTAAATTAATTTGGTCGTCTACAAAGATGCTACAGCTATTTAACTTTTCACTTTTCGAATTGAGCCGAACTACGCGGGTCACCATTTTATTTTGCCCGTAAGTTCTCGCGCTACTCCTCTCTCTCTCTTTCTCCACTGCCCACAGACAAAATAGCACGTTTTAGGCTAACAGTAGTAACACAAGAGCGCTGGAACATTTGTTCACGAATCAGAATTCTACAATTCTGTAGTGTACAATTCTGTGATTCAGGGCGAACGAAACACTGGTTGGCCTAGCTAGCCTAGGCTATAGTATGTTATAGTATAGTATAATAACGGTGAACGCACACCGGGTAGAATAGCCAAAAGGCTAGATCTAGATTTAGATCTAGATCCAGAGATCTATAGATCTATGTTTATTATAATTTCGATTGATGCTGAGGAAAAACATTTTGCAAATGCAAATTCTTGTCCCAGAGCCAGAGTTCAGACACTCAGACTTATCAACATTGACTTAGACAGGAGACAGTGTCACAGAGCCAGTGAGAAATTCAAAGAAGTTAGAATAGTTGTTGAGTTCTGAAAGTCCATCATTTTTAAACCAGACCCACAGAAAAATACTCTTCAAGTCTTCGTAAGACTCATAAGAGAAGGATTTTAAAAAACACACAACAGGTAAACAATCACGAGAAAGTGCGGAAGTAAATCCTGAGCTCTTCGTTTCTATTTTTCTAATGACACAGAGTTCGAATGTAAATTTGCAAACATAAAAACAACAGAAAGTAGACCATCGGTAATTGAATCGGCACTGTAAATAAGCTTCTGCAATGTAATGAACACATGGCAAACTGCACAATAGAACAAAGGTGTCTCTGACATATACAAGAATCAACAACCTTCAAGTAGCCGCGATATGAGGCTGTCTACATTGAGCTCCGGGTCCGCCATTTTGAGTTGAGTGAGATGAATGTTGACGTCAGCATTGTTTGTGTGGTTGGCTGAGACACTACGTGGGTTATCTTCGGGAATCCGAGAACAATGGAAAAAAAGCGAAATATCAATCCGTAATCAAAACGTTGCGTTTTTATATACCCCAAAATGAAAACCTTGTTCTGTGAGCCTCAGACAAATGGGCCTATAAACAGCAGCAGTTGTAGTAGCATAATAAACACAGTTTCTTCTTTTTTCCTTTACCGGCACAACATAAATATAGTGTCTGAGGCGTAAACGTTTTCATGTTGTGCCCCGTAATACAATAATAATAATAATAATAATAATAATAATAATAATAATAATAATAATAATAATACATGTAATTATAACACGCTGCTGACACCAGAAACCGTATTCATAATTATTGGCCGATACGAGGAACATGTGTCTGAAACTGCCAGTTGCAGTGAGTGCTAGGAATTGGATGTGTTAAGTCTGCATTGTGTTGCGGCGTTCTTGGTCTCTTCAGATGTAGCTTACGCCTCGTCCTTCTGTTTCGTCTTGAGACCGTCCTACTCATTTTAATTACCCTCTTCCATCATGGCAATCATTCTACCTTTTGTCATTTGGTCCTTTTAATAATAATGAATTGCATTTATACTATACTGTGCATTTCCATTTTCTAAAAAAATGCTCAAAGCGCATTACATCGAAAAAGACATCACATCTTAACAATTAATCAACATGTGTGAACGTAAAACAAAGTATTATGCATATAATATCTATGCATGTATATTATAAGAGTAAAAACTTCTATGAGAAAAACAGTCTCGCAGTGAGGTTGGAAATGCGTTCACTAAAAATATACAATGCAATAAAAATTCGCAAACGGTCACAATAACATTGAAATGTCTCTCTCTCTCTCTCTCTCTCCCCCTCTCTCTCTCTCTCTCTCTCTCTCTCTCTCTCTCTCTCTCTCTCTCTCTCTCTCTCTCTCTCTCTCTCTTATATTCTCACACGCTTTTAGAAGAGAGAGATGGGGGAGAGAGACAGAGACAGACAGAAACAGCGCGAGGGGAAGGGGGGGGGGGGGGCGATAAATGTATAGCGGAGGAAAATCAGACGAATCACAAACTTAAGCAATCACACGTTGGCAACATCGCGAACTGACGACGGTGACTGACTGTCTGTGGAGTAGCAGGTTAGTTAAGCCAAGTGTTTGTCCCTCCTCTCCAGGACCCATGAAAAGGGTTGGCTTGTTGCTCGTGCTAGTTATCAGCTGGTTGGATTTGGTCTTCTGGCTTTTCTATGCAGACTACTGTTGCTGTCTCTCCCCGACCCTCTTGAAAAACCAGCTTCCCTTCAGTCTTTTCCACGGAAAATAGTAGGCTATAACAATTATTGTACTGTTACTGGTCAGTGCTTGGCACTGCGGCAAATGACACCGACAAGTATAAGAATCTGATAGGTAACACGCTTGGGTGAATGTATTGAGATCACGGTTTCATATAATAATTATGAACATAACATGTACGGGATATATAGATCTAAATGTACCATAAGTGAAGGGCAACGCGGTGTCGTATGTAGAAGGCATGGGTTTGATTCCTGAGTCGTGACATAAATTTATCGGGCATTCGATCTGTCTGTCTGCCTGCCTGTCAGTCTGTCTGTCTGTCTGTTTGTCTGTCTGTCTATCTGGTTGTCTACCTGTCTGTCTGTCTGTCTCTGCCTGTCTCTGTCTCGACTCTCCCCCATCTCTCTCTTCTAAAAGCGTGTGAGAATATGAGAGAGAGAGAGAGAAAGAGAGAGAGAGAGAGAGAGAGAGAGAGAGAGAGAGAGAGAGAGATAGACAGAGAGAGAGAGAGAGAGAGAGAGACAGACAGACAGACAGACAGAGAGAGAGAGAGAGAGAGAGAGAGAGAGAGAGAGAGAGAGAGAGAGAGACTGATTTTCTATCAGTAGAAAACGAATGTTTTAATGAATGTTTCTAGTTACTCACATTTCAATGTTATTGTGACCGTTCGTGTATTTTTATTGCATTGTATATTTTTAATGAACGCATTTCCAACCTCACTGCGAGACTGTTTTTCTCATAGAAATTTTTACTCTTATGATATACATGCATAGATATTATATGCATAAATACTTTGTTTTACGTTCACGCATGTTGATTAATTGTTAAGATGCGACAGACAGTTGCCGTCTTCATAAACGTTGAAAAAAATCAGCTGCTGCCTTCGTAAGTGTTGAACCAATCAGTTGCCGATTTTACAGCTGTTGAACCAATCAGTTGCCACCTTCATAGACATTGAACCAATTAGTTGTCGCCTTCATAGATATTGAACCAATCAATTGCCGCCTTCATAACTATAGAACGAATCAGTTGCCGCCTTTATAGACATTGAACCAACCACTTTCCGCTTTCATTGGCACTAAACCAATCAGCTACTGCCTGCATAGACCAGTCATCTGCCGCCTTCAAAAACATTGAACAAGTTATAAATTGCCACCTCTATAGACATTGAACCAATCGGTGGCCGCCTTCCGAGACACTGAAACAATCAATTGCCGACTTCATCATAAACATTGAAACAATCAATTGCCGACTTCATCATAAACATTGAAACAATCAATTGCCGACTTCATCATAAACATTGAAACAATCAGTTGCCGCCATAATAGACTTTGAACCAATCAGCTGCCGCCTTCAAAACTGTTGAACCAATCAGTTACAGCCTTTATAGACATTAAACTAATCAGCAGCCACCTGCATAGACATTGAACCAATCAGTTGCCACCTTCATAGAAATTAAACCAATCAACTGCCGCCTTCGTAGAGACGTTTAACCAATCAGCTGCCGCCCTCATAGACATAGAACCAATCAGTTGCCGCCTTCATAAGTGTTGAACAAGTCAGTTCGCGTTCATAGACATTGAACAAATAAGTTCCCGCCTTCATAGACATTGAACCAATAGGCCGTGGCCTTAATATACATTGGGCCAATTAGTTGCTGTCTTCATAGACATTGAACCAATCAGTTTCCGCTTTCAGAGACATTGAACCAATCATTTGCGCCTGGATCATAGACATTGAACGAATTAACTGCTGCCTTAAAAATTGTTGAACCTGTACGTTTCTGCCTTCATAGACATTGAAACAATCAGTTGCCATCTTCATAGACCTTGACCCAAGCAGCTGCCGCTATCATAGACATTGAACCAACCAGCTGCCGCCTTCAAAACTGTTTAACCAATCAGTTACAGCCTTCATAGACATTGAACTAATCAGTTGACGCCTTTACAGACATTGAACCAATCAGTTGTCGTCTTCAAAGCTGTTGAACCAATCAGTTACAGTTACAGCTTTCACAGACATTGAACCAATTAGGTTCCGTCTTCAAAACAATCAGCTTCCACCTTCATAGACATCGAACCAATAAGTTGCTGCCTTCATAAACACTGAACCAGTCGGTTGCATTCTTCATACACATTAAACCAATCAGTTGCCAGATCCATAGACATTGAAGCAATCAGCTTCCACTTTAATAATTGTTGAACCAATTAGTTGCCGCCTTCACAGACATTGAACCAATCAATTGCCACCTTCCTAGACATTGAAACAATCAGCAGCCACCTTCAAAACTGTTGAAACAATCAGTTGCCGTCTTCATAGACATTAAGTTAATCAGTGACCGCCTTGATACAAATTGAACCAATCATTGCCACCTTCGTACACATTGAACCAATCTGTTGCCGCCTTCATAGACATTGAAGCAATCAGTGACCGCCTTTATACAAATTGAACCAATCATTGCCACCTTCGTAGACATTGAACCAATCTGTTGCCGCCTTCATAGACATTGAAGCAATCAGTGACCGCCTTTATACAAATTGAACCAATCAGTTGCCGTATTCATAGACATTAAAGCAATTAGCTGTCGTCTTCATAGAAATTGAACCAATCAGTTGCTGCCTCCTTTGCTGTTGAATCAATCAGCTTGTTCAGCCGCACAGCTTTTACCTGCTGGGTTGACCTGACCCATAATGACTGATTCACCGAGGGTTTCAGCCCCCCCCCCCCCCGGCTACCCTCACCTGGGCCAGCTGGCCATTACCTGGAGTGTGACCGTTGTCCATGTCTACATTCACACTGTTGTCTTCTTCTCGGTCGCATCTCTCTCACAAGTCCGGTATCTGTCATAATATATATATATATATATATATATATATATATATATATATATATATATGTGTGTGTGTGTGTGTGTGTGTGTGTGTGTGTGTGTGTGTGTGTGTGTGTGTGTGTGTGTGTGTGTGTGTGTGTGTGTGTGTGTGTGTGTGTGTGTTAATATGCACTGGGCTGTCCTGCTCAGTTTGTCGGTCCATACAGCTTCCCTTGTAGTTAGTGTCAATGGGGTTAGCCACGTTTCCTGTCTCAGGGCCCTGTGTGTCTTACAGTGCTGAAAGATGTGTTAAATTGTGTTCCACAGTTTGTTCCGCCTTTCCACACTGGCATTTTGGTGATTGTACTACATGTAGTTTAAAGCATAATATACTTGTGTTGTCTCAGTCGTGTGTGTTGTGTTCTTAGTTTCAAGAAAATCGCTTGTTCTTGGCGGGACAGCTCATGGTAGCTACTTGGTGTCCGTGGTGCCGGTATAGTGTACCGGTACACGTATTTAAAGATTTCATTTCCGTATAGTTTATGCAGTTGTCTGGTTGCTCTTTCTGTTGTTGTTTTTTTTTGGTAAGTTTTTTTACGGCGCTCGCAACTGCATAAGGTCATATGAGCGCACGGGAAACATTAAAAATTTTCAGTTGGTTTGAATTTTGCCCGGGTGGCCACGAAGCCTACTTTTATCGATTTTAGGCCACCAACGGATCTTTAACGTGCGCAACTTGCACACGGGCCCTCCGAGATTTTTCGTCCTTGTCCGAGAAGGCTAGGTGTAGATCTTTCCAACCAGAAGATCAGGGGTGTGTCTGAAAGACAACAGTAAGAAGGAGCCAAGGAGTAGCAGTTGAAAGGCTGCAGAAAGAGTCAGGAGCCCAGAGGAGGGAGCAAGGGAGGTGAGGGGGGGGGGGGGCAGAAAGAGGAGACCAAAGCAGACGACAGAACATTGCTGGAGAACAGAAATAGAGGTGAAAGGAGACAATTTTAGAGAAGAAAATTTTTCGGTCGCTACCTGGATTCGAACCCGGGACCTTTGAATGAGAGGCCAACACCTTAACCTCTTGGCCACGAGAGCCCCCGCTCTTTCTGTGCGCCATCACACTATTGTAATATTTACTGATGGTAAGTTAATAGTATGATTGTGTGCTAACCTATCATTTCACATTTTAAAAATTGCGTTTTTTTGGTGTGTGTGTGTGTGTGTGTGAGAGAGAGAGAGAGAGAGAGAGAGAGAGAGAGAGAGAGAGAGAGAGAGAGTATGTGTAAGTGTGTGTGTGTTGTGTAACTATACACACATTGAATAGAAGGAATGTGTATGCATGTCTCCATGAAAAGGTGAATTATTTTAATTATATTATATGTGTCCAATTCGAAACTTCATGCACACTTGAATTTTTGAAATATTTTTCTTTTCCTCTAACGAATACTGTAAGACAGATTTACTCATAAATTCAAAAGAGACAAGATCAGCTTATTGGGGCTTTGGACAGAGAGAGCTAAAAAATTAATATGACAAATATTAATGATGGTAAGTGTTTCCATAGACACAATTAATGTGATATAGGAGGTGAGCTGTTTCGAGCCCGCCTGTTAGGGTCAAATTAGGCTGAGAAGGATACAATGTTCCAGCAGACAAACAGAGAGACAGAGATATTTGAGGAAAAAACCTCCCAATACGGAAATCAAACTCATGTCTTTTGTGTGTGACGGCGAAGCACCTAAAGAATGCTCTTATTAACCTGTGCTGATTGCTATTCAATCAGAACTTTTGAGTTTAGGCTTGTGGCTGGTTGGCGGGTGTTTAAGTGTGGTTTGCTCCTTGTTTCCTATCAAACATCTAATGTTTTTATCTCTCCTCTTTTTTTTGGTGTTTATTACTCTCTTGCAACATTTCCAATCTTCTGCACTTATATAACCTTATTGAGTTGCAAGCGCCGTAAAACTCTTACTTAAAACTTAAAAACAGAGTTATGGTTTGAACTCTTATACAAGACGCAAATAGACCTTATCACAGGAGAGAACTTTTAGTTTAGTTTTAGTAGAGGTTTTACGGCGCTCGCAACTGCATAAGGTCATATGGGCGCCAGAAGATTAGAGGAGTTACAAGAGAGTAACAAACATAAAAAAGAACAAGGGGAGATAAGGACGATAGATGTTTGATAGGAAAGAAGGAGCAAACCGCACCAGAGCACCCGCCAACCACCCACAGAGAACTTTTCTATGAACAAATGTTGATCTATATTGAAAAACAAATCATTTCCCCAACAGGAAAACCATATAGTACTACTGAGCCACTTCTTCCTAAAACACTGAAAGTGAGAGGCAAAGGCAGCAGTAGTATTAACTGCACAGGGTCATACCAAACACACCAGTAGCTGTACTTCTGAGAAAGGAACCACAGAGAACAGAGCTTTTTTAGTTTTGGTAAGCATTTTACCACACAATAAGGTCATATAAGTGCCAAAGATTAGAAGTGTTACAAGAGAGTAACAAACACAAAAAAGTGGAAAGATATGGGTGATAGATATTTGATAGGAAAAAAAGGAGCAAACTACACCAGAGTACCTGCCAACCGAGCTGTGGCATTTCTGATTTGGGACACAACAAACATTAAGCTGAGGGAGGTGAAACGTTATGTCACCTGCGACACAAATAGGTCATATAAGTGCCAAAGATTAGAGGTGGTATAAGAAAGGAACATATAAAGACAAGGAGGAGGAGAGATAAGGATGACAGATGTTTGGTAGTAAAGAAAAATCTAACCACACCGAAGCACCCGTCAACCATCCGCGATGTGAAAGCATTTTCAAGGCTAATCCTTTCTCAGCTGGAATTAAAAAACATGCTGAAAAATATAACATAAAACAAAACCAAAAAAAAGGAAAGACGAAGCCAAAGTCGTTGTGTTTACCAATAGACAGTATATAATTTATCTCAGCACATTTACAATGTTTTCCATAAAGCTCTTCTGACTGTGTCACAACAACAGAGTCTATAATGTCGTCAGTCTCGAAGACGTACAAGAAACTGTCCAAAAGCACAGAAACAACCAGTTTACCAACAAGAAAAAAAAAGTATTAAAAAAAAAAAGACAAAGAAAAAAAAAAGCTTGTGGTATTTCTGTCTAAAATGAAAGCTTTGTATTACGTGCTCAGATGTAATTCAAACTTGAAATCACACTGGGGTCCAGTAATCCCTTATGAATTTCAAGATAGAAAGACATCTAAGCAAGACAAATCGGGTCAAGCTCATATACTTTTCGATACTATACACAGACATACAAAAAAATGTACACATGTACATCGGATTATTTTAATAAACTAATATACACCACCCTTTTTTTGTAAAGTTATCACCAAACTAATAATCCAGACAACAATACACTCATGCAACAAAATAAAAAGACATGAGGCTGTAGAAACAATGTCCACTATCCAGTGGAATTAGTTTCATAACAGAATAAAATTAATGTAACAACACATAATCATTTTCAATGCTGTCACACAAACAATTTGTACTTGGCCATTCATAAAAAATTGCTCTCCAAAGAAAGATAGAAGTACGCATTACAACAATATCATGAAAACATCTCCATACAATCATAATCCAGAAACAAAGAAAGTCTATTTTAAAAAAAATAATTGAAAAACCAAACAAAAACCAGTATAGAGACAACAATGTCACCTCCATCCAGTGCAACTATCACAACTCTCTGGATATTCCTGTCAAAAGGGTATGTTGAAGACATGTCCACAAATTAGGCTACATAGTAACTTTTCAACAAAATCAAAACGCTGAAACAAAACAGCTAATGCCCTGCTTAAACTTTCTTTTAATCTTTTTTTTTTTTATAGTAGAGGGTTTTACGGCACTCGCAACTGCATAAGGTCATATGAGCGCCAAGGGGTGGGTGTCAACAGAGAAGTCTTTACAAGGAATCAGACTTACTCTGCTCACCTCTCTAGCTTCAACAGCACAAGGTCTGCTTCGACTATCAAGGAACCCCGGAAATAGCAGTTCACAAGAGAGTGACAAACAAACAAAAGAAGTAGAAAAAAAAAATGACGATAGTAAGGATTTGGAAAGAAAAACCAGCAGTTCCCTGTTGTAGATCAGGCACAGTTATGAGCGTGGCATGATGAATCAGCCCATTTACAATTCTACTGTGCTTGAACGAGAAATGTCCCCCTTTGAGAATGGCCTAAAGACACTACAGGCAGTGGCACTGCCCCGGGGGGTGCTTTCTTTTAATCTAAAAGTCTGGAGCCAACCCAGATGGGTGGAGGAGCATACCCATCGTTAGTCCAAATCAGAGTCTGGGTGTGAAATCTATTTAAACAATGAGGCTATGATCTTGCCAAATCTTAAGCCAAAATATGTAACAAAACCTTCCTGTATATGCTGGAAGTTAGCAGGACAACGGATGAAAAGGGAAAAGTATCTTTCCTTTTATATCATTTTGTTTACGTAAGCTGCTGACTTTCTCATGAGTTGTTCTAGTTTGAAAAACAAGTACTGAAATGGGAGGTTGTTTCTTGCTTGACCTCCAGCTAATAAATTGAAACGCCAAGTTGGTACCAAGGGAAGCACATTAATGCAATATTAACGCTAGAAAGAATAAAAACAACCTAAAGAAAAAAAGAGAGAAAAGAATGAGATCTAGAGCTCCATCTAGCGAATCCTGAACCGCTTGTCAAATGGAGAAAAAAAAATTCTAGTTTGCTCAGTCTGATCATGTCAGTCAGTACATGTGCCATGGACCCTGCCATCAACACGCATGTACGTTAGTCTTTAAAAAAAACGAGACAATTATTCTAATTGAGTAAGTCTTTTCCTTTGGTTCTGAGAACAAAGTTAAATATCTCTCTCTCACACACATACACATACATACACTGATACACACACACACAAACACATGCACGCACAACCACTTCATACGAGATGAGACCTCAGTAAGAATACAGTAATGCATATTATTGCCTTGTTTTGAGAACAGCCTTCATAAGCTTTACAAATCTGAACACACATATATGTCTGTAGTAAGACAAAACAATACAACATGTTAATAATATTCTTTTTCAAATTCAACAACTGCAAGACAAAACATCTGACTATAACATGAGTCATATTAAGGCATTTTCAAGTACTGTAGAGTTCTGGTACAGTTTGCTATGAGATATTTGACAGTAGGCCTACATGCTTGCTGAATGCACACTGTCAACAAAACACTGACTCCCTAAAAAGTTTAATATATGTTACAAAAGGAAAACCTTAAGCGTCCCATTCTACATGTCAGGAGCTTTATATACTAATTTGCCGATATTTCTAAGCACGCAAAATAAACTAAAAGAAAAATGAACTCAGAAAAATGGAAATAGTATCAACACCAGAGTCACTGAAACACTGTGGTTCTGCTGAAGAGAAAAGAAGCAAACATTCACTTTATTCACGCCTACAAAAGGGGATCCATGTAGAATAAATGCTTTCACCTCATGGCTGTACTTATCAACTACACAAAAAAAAATTGTTAAAAAAAAAGTAAATAGGTGGTTGCTCGGTGATCTTGTGTGGTTTGCTTTTTCTTTCCTATCAAAAAATCTTCCCTCCCTATATCTCCTCCTCCTTTTCTTTGCAAGTCACTTTCTTGTAAAACCTCTAATCTTCAGCACTTATATGACCTGCTTGTGTTGCCAGGGGGTGTCATTTACAACTTTGGGACTTTTGCAATTCACTGCATCATTTGCTGAAAAGAAAAGTCAAAATCACATACGAAAGGGAACATCTTTTGTTCGATACACTGCAAAGAATCATTTTCATACATCCATAGTAATATGCTTCCACTGTGACTAAGGTAAAGCAAAGCATAAAGATATGTGAGAATAGCACAACAGAATACACTGTCACCGACACAAAACATCTTGCTATTAACACACTTCTAGAATCCTGGCAGTGTAAGTGTAAGTGACCCGATAATTTTATTGCAATCACACATCGTAACATGAGAAATCAGCACAGCCATAACAGTACAGCACAAGCAATAGAAAGGTGATTATGTGACTGAAGTTTACCTGACAGAAATAAAACATTGTACTGGCAAAAAAAGACAACATCATTTATCACTGTGCAAGGTCATTCATTATCTTGTAGATAAAGGTTAACCCAAAGCATTACCATTCTATTGTTTGTCCTGTATTTAATTTTTTTTTTCAGAGGACACTTTACAGCATTATATATATATATATATATGTGTGTGTATAACAAGCTTACAGCAACAATTTGTTTAAAAAACATTTGTGCATTTATAAATCTTCACACCGTACATGAGTACACACATGCAAACGAAACAAGATGCCTCACTAAGGACCCTTCCAACACACAATCAGTCGCACTATGGCCAGGCTTCTTTCTTTCAACAGATGACCAATAAAGTGCCCCAAAACAGTCTGCCTTAACCCTATTATCTTTCATTTATCACATGATACACACAAACATAAAACCAAGCCACTTGCTCTCTATACCATATATAGATACAATATATCTTATTGCAAGGCAACAAGCATTTAAAAATGTATTCATTGTCACAACTTCCATCTGAGTAGAGCTAATATTAGCACAGTCATACATTTCATTGCGTCAGAATGTAAAAATTTTCTACGAGTGTTTCCTTTAATTCTTATTTCTTAAACCTTTACAACCAGTACCCTTTCATAGGCAGGGTCCAGTTTCATCTTCTAGGGGGATCTTATTGAACCACAGAAGACCTAATTTGTTTAAATAACATTGTGCTTTCCATCCTTCTGAAAGAAGCACGTTTCTCTATGATAGGACCAAAGATACATGTCATCTGTCACTTACGGGAGAGATGAGATCTTTTCACCCGAGTGCAGTGTGCCACGTATAGGTGCATGCACAGCCAGCGGTAACTTACTCTATTTGACACAGCTCATCTTTTAATGTAGGTCTTTGTGGCAGCTTTAAAAAATGAGGAACAAAAGGCAAGTTTGAAGGGTTTCACTTCGAGTCGTTGACATGAACACGTTGTGTTGTTGATCCACCAGCGTTCACTCTTTGTCCCAGCCCTATACAGAGGTATCATCAGAAGCAGAATATTGAATTGTATTGTGTGTTGTGCGACAGTGGGAGAAGTAGAATTCTCAGAGACCTGATATACTGTTGCTGTCACACGACAGAGGAAATACTTCAATCCAGGCACTTGTGCTATTCGAACTGATACACCGGCCCCTTTCTTGTTTGAGTGTACTTTTATTTACACGACAACATTCACCCGCAGTTGTTGATGAGACAAATTTATCTTTGAGCTCTGTACCTTCACTCCCCCGGCCAGTTTGAGCTTTTAAGCCTACACATGCGAAACTGTGTTTATGGGCATTAAGTAAACTGGTCTTCTGTCGCTTTAAATTTCAAACACTCCACGGCCAATCACAACCCTGGAGATTATGGTGTTGGTAAGACTGGACAAGAACTATTTATGTGTTTTCTGTACCCTTTAGTGTGACTTGAAACTCGTGAAGGTTTCAAGTCTATTGCATCAGATGAAGCATATATTGAAACACCTGTTGTGAGGGCTCACGTCTTGAAATTGCTGAAATCCATTTTGAGAGTGATAGTGGGCTTGTTAAGTTGAGGAGCCGCCTTCGCAGCGGCCTTGGCCTTGGCTTCAGCCTGGCTCTTCTGTCGCAGTCTGACGGCTGCCTCTAGCCGGGGCTTGAGCTGTGCGGAGGCGCTCATCACTGTGCGCAGGTGGTCGGGGTAGAGGCGGCCCAGTTCTGTCAGTCTCTCCAGGCAGCGGTCGCTGAGGGCGCGATGTTCGGCGCTAGCCTGAGCCCCGGTCGTCTCCTCCAGCAACAGAGAAACCAGGATGGGAACATACAAAGCCATCATGGTCACCCCTGGGAAGCAGAGAGATTTGTTAGTTTGAAGAAAATTGAAGCATACGGATACAGTAACAGCCATTAAGAGCTGGGAAACATCCGAGGGAGAGTCAAGAGTTAAGACCTGTCAAAGGAACTCTCCAACTACCTGCAAATGCAGGAGGCAATCATATCATCTGTACAGAACATAACAACCCTCCCTCCCCCAATCCCTGAACCCCAGCCAATAAATGTTTTACATAAACAAACTTGAACAGAATAATTTTGCTCCAAAATTAGGCCTAGCAAAAACCGAACATTAATGTCAGTTGATTTTTCGAACTTTAAACATTTATTTATTTTTATTCTCAACACATTGTCAAAGTGACACAAGGGGTTGCTCCCAGCCGATGTCCCACGACTGCCTGCTTTTAACACACACATGCCTCGACAATACCTTAAAAAATGTCTAGTTTAAGTTTAGTGAGGGTATTACGGCACTCGCAGCTGCAAAAGAGGAACTACCTTCTATTAACGAATTATACAAGACACAAAGATATATATATATATATGAACTCACTACGCGAAAAAATAAAAAACCAGAGACCTTCAATCAATTAACCAATCTAAAGAAAAGAAAGCAAGAGCAAAAATAACTTAGTTTCTACAAGACATAAGAGATCTACATGAACTCACTGCGTGAAAGAACTAAAAAAATCAGTCATGTAACTGATCTAAAGAAAAAAAGCATGAGCAAAAATAACTTGGGAACAACCATCTATGAAAGAATCCACAAGCCATAAGAGACAGATATATAAGAACAACTCACTGCGTGAATCCTCCACCACAGCTACCAGTTGCTCCAGGCAGTCGAGCTCAGCCAGAAGCAGCTCACGGTCGGCAGGAGACTTCAGCATCTGTGGAGCATCGGGTCTGTTGAGCTGCTCGATGAAGCGCGGGGCCAGGCAGTGGATGTAGGGCACGGGCACGTTCTTGTCCTCGTGGCTCAGGATGGAGGTCAGGGCCTGGATGCACTTCAGTCGGTTCTGAGGGCATGGGGACAGATGCTAGGATTATGAAAAGCCGCATAGGAAAGAAGCTAGAGTTATGAAAAGGCATGATGGTGAAACCAAGCACTCGTCAAAATAATGAAATCAAAGAAATTGGCTCTCCGCAAGTTAGGCAGTTTTTGTTGAATTCTTCTTTTTTGGCTCACATCTTTTTTGTCTATTCAAAAACACATTTTTGTGTGGGTTTTACTTAAAAACGTTAATTAAAGATACAAAATGTAAAAATTTTAAGTTTGCCAGGACTCTCAAGCTAAGGAAGTAACCAAACTTTAGCAGCCATTGTCTCGCTATTTTTTAGCTCTGAGACCAGGCCTCCTTCAATCACAAATATCTCCACTTCTATTCAAGATAAATGGGTATTTTCCCCCATAAAAAAACAAGGCAAGTGAACAAGCTTTTAGGTGATACCAATAATTCTATATACCAAAAGATTAATGAGTGTCTGATTCCACCGCGTCGTGCCCCATTTCGATCTTGTTCCTCAGCTTTGAACCAAAGCTGTAAAATTTATCCCAAAGAAAAAAACAAAAATAGATCAAAGAACACAACACATCTCAGTGAGAGGGGAGCAGTAACTTACAGCGGGTGAATCTGAGTCCCAGGCCTGTCTGTAGACGTCGAGCGTGGGCTCCAGCAGGTCCTTGATGCCCGCCACAGCCTTGGGGCAGTGTGTGGTGAACACAGACAGCATGGACACCAGTACAGCCAGGTCCGTGCCCGCCTGGTCCTCACCTGTGTGTGTGTGTGTGTGTGGGGGGGGGGGGGGGGGGGGGGGGAGGAGGAGGAGACAAAAGTCAAAGAGAGTTAGTTTGAGCTTTCCTTTTAGTTTTAGAAAGAGTTTTTTGTTTAACAAGTGTTTTATGGCACTTGCAACATGATCAGGCCATATAAGAGCCGAAGATTAGAGGTGTTACAGGAGAGTGACAAACATAAAAAAGGAGGAGAGATCAGGATGATAGATAGACACATGTTTGAAAGGGAAAGGAGCAAACTACACCAGAGCACCTGCCAACCACCCACTGAGCTTTCCGCACAGTTTGGCTTACTTATGAAACAGGACCTCTGCAGGAGCATCGACTTCTTAGACAAGAAAATTAACTAATGTAGTTTTAATAACATACATGACGGACTTGGGACTACAGATGCTACAATGCTCTGAAAAGACCATTTACTTAGTGCAGTTTGAAATTTTCCAAGACAACCTTCTTTTGTTCAGGAGAAAAGTGGTTGACCTGGCAGGCTCAATCTCCCTTCACGTTTCTCATCTCCTTGCTCATCAACAACTTTCCCAAGTCCCAACCCAGAGAGGGAATAAGTGTGCTTTTGTATGTCCAAAACAGGGAGAGAATCATTCACTTGGATAAACCATTTACTGCAAGCCTGACCAATGCATATATGGCACATCATCATTGCCTTTTTCACCCTGCACCAGGGTATAGGCCCCGAACAAACACTTTCCACCTTTCCCTATCCCGGGCTAGTCTCTTGATGTTATTCCATATCTTTCCACTTTTCTGTACATCAGTTTCTGCCATGAGACTGGGGATGTCCATTTAAAAGACGAATGAGAAGAAAAGAAAGACTCACCTGGATGAGCGTACTGCAGTATGGATGCCATAGTGCTCTGCAGCAGCCGCGCCCAGTCCCTCTTCACGTTGCTCATCTCCTCGCCGTCCTCATCCCTGGCATTGTCTGGCACCACCTGATATTTACACGCCGTGGTCAGCACGTCCAGACACGCTTGGACCAGGCTGGGAGCCGGGGTGACCGCCCCGCGAGCACAGGTCTCCTTCATGATGCTGGTCACCAAGTGTAACACAGTGGGCAGGACCGTTACAGCACCTGGACAAGCACAAACATTAGTGGTTCACAATCACATGGCACAGAATTTCTGAAAAATAGTCTGAGAATATTTTTACAGGGAAGAATACTTTTAACTTCTTAACAACACATATCTGGGAGGACATGGTTTTATGCCCAACCGCATAATTTAGCAAAATTTGATCAGAAATTGACAGAATCGTATAATTTCACATTTTTGGGCTCATTTTGCACAATTCCAGTATTTTTCTCGCACAAAACGACAGGGACAGTGTAAAAGGCAAACAAAACATTTTAAAAATCTGTGTCATCTTGTTTACACTTTTCAAGCAATTTCTAACCAAATTTGGAGTGACTCTACAATGATGTAACCAAAAGCCAATATTTTTTCGATCAACTTTTTTTTGTACATGTGTTATAGCGCTCGCAACTGCATAAGATCATATGAGCATGATCAACTTCAACAGTTAATTGTGAGGCCAATATTCACATCAGGCAATTCAAATACACCACAAACATCAATCTAGGAAATGAACTGACCAACAGGAGAACAAAGGTCCAGCAGCTCCATCATGAGCTTCATGACCCGGGCCACAAGGTCAAAGGTTGCGGAGCCCATGCGAGTCAGGTGGGTCGGGGGTTGGAAGCCTGTGGAGCCTGAGGAAGGATTCAGCGCCGGTATGTGCCTCACGATGGCACACAGGCACACCTCCAGCGTGGCAAACACCACAGAGGTCTGCGAGGGGAAGTCTCCGTTACTGCCGCCTTCACCAGACGTAGCCTCACTGCCCTCCTTGACTCCATCTTTGCTGTCTGTGTTTTCTGAATGGTTGGGAGATAAAGATTTACAGAGACAGTTCTAGAGGTTTTACATCAGTGTGGTAAAATGTTTGATTTTTAGCAAAACCAAATGTTGATATTGTAAATATAGAGACCGTTCTAGAGGTTTACATCAATGAGGTAAGGTTTTTTAAATTTTTACCAAGAATAATTGTTAAAGTTATAAACGAAAATGGAAAAATAACTATTAAAAGAGTACAAAATTCTGGATCATTTCACAGTCATGGAGTTCTTGAAATTAATGTAAAAGTGGAACCCCTCAGAAACAGAGGCACCCTCACATAATTTTACCGAAGGGGGATCGATGTAATGTCAGCAAGGATAACAGCACAAATAAGCTGAACTAAGTTCAAGAGAAAGAGTACTTCAAAAACAGCGCTGTGCCAATATTCATATTAAAATTAGAAAAATTTTGCATGAAACTTAAAGAAAAAAAAATTCTCCCCAAGACTGAATGTAAACCATTCCAACCCTTGAGTTCCCCGAGCCTTTAAAGATTCATGCTTATGAGCTCCCTTTGGGTCTGTTGCTAGATTTACACCACCCAACACTTTGGTGTGCGTTTGGTGCACAGAAAGATAAAGGTAGCACACATCTCTGGCCCAAGGGGTTACGGTGTTGAGCAGCATATGACAAAACCACACCATATACAAATCGTTACCTTAGAATTACAAGGTTCTATCAGACAATTTTGGCTGTTTTGAGTTACTGAGACCATGAGATCAGAATCTGAATGTTGTATTTTTGCTCTATCAAAATCGTAAGACTGTTCGGAATCGTTATCAAGATATCCAAAGAATGGCATTCGAGAATGCTTGACATGTTGTGAAACTCAACATTTTTCAAAACTAAGTACAGAGAAGATAGGGCTTTGTAATTCTAAGGTAGCGAAAAGTCTGAACCCTTGATGAAGTGCTCTGAGCCGTCAACTCACCTGATTGCTTTGCTCTCTGACTGTCTAGGTGCTCTTTAGCGGCTGTGGCCACTCGCTGGACAACATCCAAAGCCATATTGTGGATGTCCACTCCGTCACGGGTCAGGATCACTCTGCATATCAAAAGGGAAATTCAGTTATCCGACTCATAAAAAGTGACATTCTACTGTATCTCATGCTTTTATACCTCAAGTCATTTTAAGTCTTCTGTGATTCTGCTAGTAGAGTCCACTTAAACAAAAATCAATGAAACCGCCTGATTTTCTTCGGTTAAGCCGTGTTTTCGGTTCAGAGACTGTTCAAAAAGGAAAACAAAATTGGGGGCTTTTATTTCCTTTTGGTTTACTGCCCCTTTCGGATTAATCATGTTTGGTTTAAAGTGGACTCCACCGTATAACACAGACGTTGATAGAGATGATACAGTGCTGCTACTGCCATATGACAAGCGCATGTGAGAGCATACAGAGCAAAACAAAAATTTCATTTCCAAAATCTAATTCTTAAGACCAAAGTATGATTACAAAAAGAGGTCTTCACAGAGTGGAACAGAATTTTTTTAAAAAGGACGCTCAAACAAAAAAAAAAAGTATATGTAGGTATATACATTTTCAGGCCAAACTGCTAGAACTCAGAAGACCATTGAATTTGATACGTAAAAAAAAAGTAGATACAAATTTGTTCAGATGTACGGTGAGTCAGAGACTCTCTTAGACTAGGTAGACGTGTGAACCAACCTGTGCATGACATTGAGCAGCTCTCGGCTAAGGGTGGCGTCTTTGCCCAGCTGTGAGCGGGGCCACGAGGTTCCCAGTAGAGCCCTCAGGGCACGCAGGCAGTGCTGGACCGTGGACTCCTCCAGGCGCGAGGCAGAGTTACACAGAGCCTCCATGCTGATGCCTTTATAGCGAGATCAATAAAAAAAATAACATTTTATTCATTCCCATGGGGAAATTGGGCATTGGGTTACAAGGGCAAAACACATACAAAATTAGAAATGCATTTATACATACATAAATACATTCACAACAATATTACACAAATGCAGAACAATTTCACAAACAAGCCATTGCTGGTCGCCACTGTTGTGCAGCGCCCTGTTTTTTTTTAGCAAGGGGTAGTTGTGTCTTGCTCAAGGACACACCCCAGTGACCACCCACTTAAACCCTGTGTCGCTGACACTTGCTTGACATTACTTTTGAGCCTGAACTCACTACTCACTTAGCCACTGAAGCCCCGATTGCTATTGACACAGGGGGCAAATAAAAACTAAGGAAAAGCCACAACTACTTTACATACATCACGTCCACAGAAAAAGAGAACCTCAGAAAGGGCTCACAGCATGTACTCAGTATAAGATAACCGTAGAAGACGCATACACCAAATACACAACAAGAAAACCTTAGAAGGTCCTAACAGTATGTATCCAGTTAGTACAAGATAACCTTAGAGGACCAATACACAAGAGTAAGAAAACCTGTTTTTAGTTCTAGTAACAGTTTTACGGCACTTGCAACACAATAAGGTGCCGAAGATGAGAGGTGTTACAAGAGAGTAACAAACACAAAAAAGGAGGAGAGATCAGGACGATAGATGTTTGATACGAAAGAAGGAGCAAACCACACCAGAGCACCCGCCAACCATCCACTGAGAAAACCTCAGAAAGTGCTCACAGCAAGCCCCCAGTATAAGACAACCGTAGAAGATGCAAACACCTCATACACAGAATAATCAAACCTTTGAAGGTGCTCACAGCACGTACACGTACCCAGTATAAGGAAGAACCTGTCCTGGTTCATTGTGCGGGCCCTCATGTTGGCCGGGGCGTTGGCAGGCTGGATGGCGGACGCACCAAGGGTCAGCTTCCCCTCCTCCTTCTCGTTGCCCGGCTCAGCCCCGGCCTGATCAAAGCCCGTGTAGTCCAGCCAGATGGCCAGACCGTGCAGGATGGACGGCCAGGACTTGCGGTAGTGACCGATGGCCGTCTCCACTGTGTCCGGGTGGTAGAACGCACCGCCTTCAGAGGGCAGCTGGTTCGAGTATTCTGTAATATGAAAAACGGATCAATTTGAAAGAAGTTTGCTTATATTGTAAAGCTTTGATGACTCAAGGCATAAAAAGACAGATCATTTTGAAGGCAGTGGATCGGACTAAGCAATGAGTTGTTACTGAGCCAGACCCAACAGAGAAAAAGGATGAAATATAAAGGCAAAGAAAACAACAAGGAACAGACTACGCATCAAAGTCAGAGAACAAACCATATGCAGAGGAGAGAGAGGAAAGAAGATGGAAGAACAAAAGATAACAATGATAGACTCTTGCTGAGCTTGTTTGTTGGAGGCAAAGAAAGGCACACTAAACAAACGATGCTTTATTTAAACAAACAAAAACAACTAAAATATTCGTCCTTACATTTAATTAATGCTAAAAGAAACTAGATAACATCAAGAGGCTAGCGCATGACAGGATAAGGTGGAAAGTGTTTGTTTGTGGCCTATACCTTGATGCAGGGTGAGAACGGCAATGGTGATGATGAAAAGAAACTAGTAAATCTCCAGTCAGAATATTGTCTATCATTGTGATAGAGCAGTGAGAATACACGACAGTAAAAGACAACAAAAAGAGCAAGCCAGATACTTTAGTTTTAGTAAGAGTTTTACGGCACTTGCAACACAATAAGGTTATACAAGAGCCAAAGATTAGACGTGTTACAATAGAGTAACAAACACAGAAAAGAAGTAGGAGAGATTAGGGCAATAGATGTTTGATAGGAAAGAAGGAGCAAACCACACCAGGGCACCTGCTAGCCTGATACTGATACAACACACACACACACAAAAACGCCTCGCACTACCTGAAGGCAAGGAGAGCAGGGCATGGTCCCTCAGTGCGTGGAACCAGTGCCGGCTCAGGTTCTCCAGCTCGGGCTGCACCAGACTGAGCAGACTCTCTCCGCTGTGTTGTTCGTAGTGTTCCTCCCCGTCCTCCCAGCCCCCGGGCCCAGACGGCTGGACCTCCTCCCCGTTCTGACGGCCTTCCTTCTTGCGCTTCGACTCCAGCTCTCTGTCCACGGCCACTATGTACACCTGCGGGAACAATTTGTTTGTTTGAAACGTAAAGCAGAAAACATCCAATCAGATATGGTATAGGAAACCAATTGGAAAAAGAAAACGAGGAGGACCCAACTGGAAGCTATAGAGGCACAATAAGGGATGGGGCAATCACCCAGGGCCTGGATTTGCCAAAATTGGAGGACGTGGCCAGGGACAGACAAGCATGGCATCAACTGCTCTCCCCCTTATGTACCTGACGGTACAGGGAGAGAGTAAACATGTAAGTAAGTTGTTTGAGTGGGTGTTTTATGGCACTATTGACTCACAATTTGCTGAATGAACAACTGCCTAGTTTGTTTCAGTAGGTGTTTTACAGCACTATTGACTCAGATTTGTTGCAGGAACAAATCACAATGATTTTTTTTCATACATGAAGAGATTGGAGCATATACACAAACAACATGAAATATTTCAGAAGATTCATTAGTCAGAACATATATCGACTTCAAATAAAATAATCCTCTCTTGATGTGAACAAAAATTCTTTATAAATTCATATTTCACATCTCACCTCAGCCCACGCTCTAATCACAGCCAGTTTTTCCATCGTGGAGGCACTCTCGTTGTACAGCGGGGCACGCGGCCGGCCGCTCACCGAGCCCAGCTTGGCCAGGGAGGAGACCAGCAGCTGGTGGACACGGCGCAGGTCGTTGAGGTCACGGGCCACGCCGCTGCCGATCCACTTGCTGCACACCTACAGGAGTACAAAGGGAGACACAGAGAGTGATGGGTTCAGTTGGGTTTGTTTTAGTAAGGTTTTACGGCGCTCGCAACTGCATAAGGTCATATGAGCGATAAGGGGTGGATGTCAACAGAGAACTCAAAACGGGGAATCAGGCTTACTCTGCTCATTTCTCTAGCCTCCACAGCACAAAGTCTGCTTCGACTATCAAGGCACCCCGTAAATAGCAGTTCACAAGAGAGTGACAAACATATAAAAGAACTAGAGGAAAATGATGAGAGGACGAAGAAAAAAAAAGCAGCAGTTCCCCCTATGTTATTCCGGCAGAGTATGAGCATGACATTGTTAAATCAGCCCATTTACAATTCTACTGTGCATAAGAACATGTTAATATCTCCCCTTTCGGAATGGCCTAAAGACAACTGCAGTCAGTAGCACAGGGGGGGGGGGGGGGTTTCCAGTATGGTTATAGTATTCTTTTGTTCATTGTTGTTATCGATCCAGGTCTTGTTTTCATAAAGTGGTGATGTGCATATCATTATCCATGGTGTTGTGACAGTATGAATAGCTGCATGCGTTAGCGTTGACGAGTAAGCGCTGCAGAAATTAATTGCATTATTATTATTTATTATCATCATTATTATTATTATAATTATAGAGCTAAACAAAAGCAATAATGGTTCTTTAGAGCTGAGGAAAAGTAAGACAGAAATACGCTTAAAAGAGAGGTAGTAAAAAAGTAGAGCTAGAGCTAAATGCCCTCTTTTATCACAAAAGTTGTTAGTACAAGAACGCCAATCCATCAATCAATCTTAGCAATAAACATGTTAAAACTTCTGGACCATATCATTACATCTGAACATTATTCATCTTGAAGGGGTAGGGTAGGAAGAGAATATATTTACATGGTATTTTTCTATTTAAAAAAAGGTTCAAAGTTGTGTGTTACCTCACAGGCTGCTGCAGTGACATCTGATGGAGTATCTGGAGAGAAGGCAGGTCTCAGGGCTGCTCCAACCTGTGAAGATGTTTGGAGGGAGGGGGGGGGATTAGAGGGTGTATCAGCATCTTCATCTCATTCAAAATGATAGTTACTTAAATCGGAAGAGCGAGAGAGAGAGAGAGAGAGAGAGAGAGAGAGAGAGAGAGAGAGGGAGAGGGAGGGAGGGAGGGAGAAGGTGACAGGGGCAGAAAAACAGATAGGAAATTAATGACCATTTAATTTTTTACCCTATGAACGAACTCCTAAAACTATTTCACATAAACATAAAATTTTCACTTGCATGAGAAAAAGATGACAGCAATAAAAGAGCTTGACACACAATTGTACACCAAATTAATGACATTCGGAGGGATTAAAAATTTCCTTTGATTGGACAATAAAAAATAAAGTGCAAGATGTGAGAAGGTTTTGAGAGCTCCCTTACCTGAGCCTGGTACTGCTCCAGTATCACATGACCAGGGAACTCTGGCTCTGGGACAGCAGCAAACCGCCGAATCACCTCCTGTGGACCAATGGTCAGGAAATGAGAAACGTTTATGTTTTTGTAAGCGGCACTTGCAACTACATAAAGTGGAATGAGCACGCCGGACACATTAAACATTTCCAGTTTGGCAGGAATTAATTTTGAATTTTGTCCTGGTGGCGGCTGAAGTCTACTCTTATCGATTTTGGATCATCAAAGGATCTTTAACGTGCGCAACTTCCACATGTGACCTCCGAGATTTTTCACCCTGATCTGAAACAGGTTTGTATCTAAATGATGACACTACAAGCATAAGCACATAAGCACAATAGTAGTGGACTTTCTAAACAGACAATTTGTGACAGCAGAATTTCAAAAACACTGTCTACAAAGTTGTTTGAATAAAAAGCATTGTCTGTGTAAACTCGGGTCATATCGAACTATATAAAGATTTGACTCGAGTTAAAAAGATCCATAATTTTCTATTTTAGAATGACATCCAATTTTTAAAGCAGTAAGACCTTAAAGTGGTGCCCTTCAGCCACCCACATAATTGAGATTGGACAATTTGAACAGAAGCAATAGCTTAAGACAATTCCCCC